AAAGCCATTTTGTCCTTAGCCAAAGTGGGTGCATGTGCATGCATTATTTTAATGCACATGTGTAAGTTTATGTCCCCCACTCACCTTGTGTCCGACCAGAGCCTTTGTCCACTTCCAAGATGCTTTGAAAACCTTCTCAAATTCCACCCAAGTCATCCCCAATGCAACCCCAAGTCCCTAGGTGCACATGAAGTGGGAAAAGAGCACTTAAAATGTGTCTCCCATGAGCTACCTAGTGAAATCCGCCATAGACTCCATTTAACCTCATTCTTCAGCAAGTAAACACTCTTGGATACTTAAAAATTTCACCCAAACTCAGCCATATAGAGAGAGATAGCCGAGAGCCTTGCATGCATGGGCCTAGGCCCGATAAAGAGGAGCACCAAGCCATCTCTTGTGCTAGCCGAGTTTTGTTGCACCAAGCCGAGTTCATATCATCTCTGGGAGTATAAGGAGCTTAGAGAAGCCGCCATCTTTAGCTTATAGGCCACCATGTCAAGCCACGGCCTATAGCGACACGAGGAGACCCGAGTTAAGGGCTTGAGTCTCATTTTCAACTTCGGTGAAGGTTAGCTCATGCTATCTTTTTATCCTAGCTATAACATGATATTTTAAGATTTATCATGAAGAGAAATCATGTTTTTCTCGGGTAGAATGAGAAAATCGGATTTTTGAAGCTTAAAGCCTTAAAATTGTACTTTTCGTTGCATGCATGTTTAGGACGATTTCTTGTGCTTAAAAATCCTTATAAATCATGAGTAATATGGGGTTAAAACAGTTTCTCAAAATAAGTAAGGGTGCTCGGTCATATAGAAGTCGATTTTTAGCTCATTTTTTTACCTCCGAGCCATTTTGTTATGCATGTTTGATGAACCCTCATTAAAATCGTGTTAGGGCTGTGGACTATGGAACATTTATTAGTCTTTGGCCTCATGGTGCAGGCCTTAGACATTTTTGTTGAGTATGTGGCCATATATGTATTTTTGAATCGGGAGTTGCTGCTGATTTTTATAAAAATCATCATAAATCGTGTGTTCGTCCGATAGCTGTGTAATTTAAACTGTATGACAATCTGTTGGTATATCATGTGTTGTAAAAATTTCAAGTCGAAATGATGTATGTAGCTATGTCAAATGTCGATTTGTAATTCTGGGCAAAAACTTTAAAAAATCATTAAAAATTGGATTCTTGGTGTTTTTCTTTGATTTTTGGTTAGTGTTAGTAATCTAATGTTATATGTGTTGTGTTTAAGTTTCGTTGAAAAATTCACAGGATTGCCCGGTGAACTAGAAAGTTCAGATTTTCATCGTCTTTTTGTAAAAATTGGTTGCTTAAGT